CGTTAGCCAGCCAGTCTGAGGACGGAAAAGCGCGATGGGAGAGTTGTGACAGGAGACGTGCAGTCAGTGCTGGGAGGGGGTAAGGCCTGGGCATGGGCATGGCCACTGTCCCAAACAGGAGCAGCCTGCAGCACTGACGCGCCAGCGGGGCTACCAAGATGTCCTGGCTGCCCCTGCACCAGCCTTGGACAGCCCCGCACCACCCCAGGGAGGCAGCACTCACCTGCTGGATCTTGGACCAGTTTTCCTGCACTGACAGACCATTCATTGCCCCGGCGATGGCAAGGAAGCAGCCAAGGAAGCACGGTGCAAAGCCCCCCTGTAAGAGAGGAGTTGGAGCCCCATGTCAGCCCCAGAGCCAGGCCAGCAGCGGGGCGATAGGGGAGCGCTTGGCACGCAGGCACAAGGGTTACCTGCTGCACCTCTCCCCGCAGGCCCAGGCCAGCAGAGCGCAGGCCCAGCTTGCCCAATGCCCCGGGGCTGCTCTCGGCCTGCAGACCTCATGCTGGGCCCCCAGCACAGAGCCAAACGGGAAAGGGCTGGTGGGGGTGGGGGAGCCCGGGGTGGGGGGGGGGGGGAGGGCACAAATCTGGAGCAGTTCAAGACCAGGCTAAGGATGTCCCCCCCCCCCCAACCCCAACAACCTGCCAGCCCCATCCCTCCCCCAGCTCAGGGCTGGCTGCCAGGCAGGAGCCAGGGCAGCACCGTGTCTCCTCCTCCAGGGCCCACGCACAGTGGCAGGCACCAAAGCAGCAAGGACATCAGGGATGGCACTGCCAAATCTCCCTTACTCCTGGTCACAGGACGCATAAGGCAGCTCTGCACAGCAATGGCATCAGTAGCTGCAGGAAAAGGGTGAAACACGGACGCTACAGCTCTCATGAGAGCAACTGGCTTGGCCAGGGGTGCCCCACAGAGACACTCCGGGCTGCAGGGTTGAGATTAGCATCTGCCCGATGCCCCAAAGGCTGCATGGTGCAGCCCCATAACTGCGTGGAGCAGCTCCTGGGCACCATTCCCTGCCCAGGCTGCTGCGCTAAGCGGGGGGGGGGAGGGAGGTCTCAGAGCAGGACAGACACCTCCCTGCAGCCAGGCGGCTGTGCCTTCCTGCCGTGTTCCCGCTGCACGAGTCCCGCGCAGAAACCCAGCACCCACACAGCACTGACCTGATCCAGAAGCATCTTCCTCACGGCCACGGCCTTTGTGGCTCCTGGGATGAGCCGATCCAGGACCTTGTACCAGCTGCCCAGGACAGGGCCCTGCAGGAGCCAGATGGTGAGGGGAGGGCCTGGCTGGTCTGGGCCTTGGGGGGCAGGGCTGGGGGTCTCGGGAGCCCTGTAGCACTGGGGCAGAGGGACTTGGGGGCCTGCTCCCCCCCGGGACAGTGCAGGCTCTCCACCAGGGCCTCTGCCTGCCATGGGGGCGCCCAGCCTTGCCCTGCTTGGGGATGGATGTGGGGACACTGCAGCCTCACTCCCCTGCCTTCCCCGGCAGCCTCCCCTGCCCTTCCTAGAGCAGCTGCACAGCGTTGGCTGCACCCGACCCAGACCGCGACCGCACGCGCACCGCCACAGCTGGGCGTTGGGGCTTTGCACTTCCTTCAGTCCAGCCTTGGATTGCACTTGCGATCCAGCAATTGCACTTGCAATCCAGCCTTGCCTCACGCAGGGCAGCGGGACACTTTTGCACGCCTGCCTGCAGCCACCCTCAGGCCAGGTAAACCTCCGCAGGGTGCAGGGGCAGGGAGCTCCTCGGGAGGACCCAGCTCTGCGCGTAGCTGCAGGAGGTGGCGCTGGCAAAGCCCAGCCTTGGATTGCACTTGCGATCCAGCAATTGCACTTGCAATCCAGCCTTGCCTCACGCAGGGCAGCGGGACACTTTTGCACGCCTGCCTGCAGCCACCCTCAGGCCAGGTAAACCTCCGCAGGGTGCAGGGGCAGGGAGCTCCTCGGGAGGACCCAGCTCTGCGCGTAGCTGCAGGAGGTGGCGCTGGCAAAGCCCAGCCTTCGCCTGGGCACCGAGGCTTCGTGCCCCTGGCCAAAACAGCCCTCTGGACACGTGGCTCTGGGTCACATCGCTGCATGTGCAGCAGTGCTGGGGACAAGGGCAAGCCCCCCCAGGCCCACTACACACCTGGCCCTCA